GGCGCCTGGAGGGTCGTTGGAAAGAAAGGGGGAAGGCGGGGGCAGGGAGATACGGCGGGCAGGGCTGGAAAACAGGTGCGGGAGGGGCGTCGCCGCTGTTTATTCCGGTTGGGCGCCCCTCCTGTTCCCCCCTCAGCCGGTGTTTGCCTGGGAAAGGGAGGCAGGAAAGAAGGTGAGAGGAAGACCGGGCATCTCTTTGCGGCCCGCCCCCCCCCAAGGCCAACCTTCTCCCTCCAAGCGGCGGGGTGCCCCCTCACCTGGCCGCCCCACATCCACATCCCCTTCGCTTCCCTGCAGCCTTTCCCGCCATTTCCCTCACCCCCCAGGCCCAGGGACCCCCGTGTGTCCTCCCTCCTAGTCACCCTCCTCCCGCCTGTCAGCGAGGGGCATAAAATGGCGGCTCCTGGGTGACCCGCTTCTTTTCCCTCAGCCTCTCTTCTGTCCCTTCTCCGGGGCAGGGCAGGGGGAGGTGGGCTGGAGGAGGAGGAGATGGTGGGAAGGAGGCACCCCCTCCTTGAGCCCCACTGATGGAGCCCCCCTTCCTATCCCTGCTACCCCCTTTCCAAGGGGGGGGAGACGCCACCCTTCCCTCGCCCCCTCCCAGCCCACCCCCTTCGTCCCTTTTCCCGCTGCTGCTTTTGCTGCATCTCCTCCTCGCCTCGCTTTGTTCTGGCCTCCCCTCCTCTCTGGGATGCCTTTTCCTTTCCTTTTGCCCTCGCCCTCCCGCCCTCCATCACCTCAGGTGCTGCCCTAATTCCCACAGTTCACAAATCCCGTGTCAGCGAGGTGCGTGTGAACCTCCTGGGCTCATAGAATGAAATCTGTGTCCCTTGGTGCCTGAGCTGCCACCCCACTTGGCCCTGGGTGTGTGTGTCTCTCTGTGGCTGTAACAGTCGTAGAGTCTGAGAAAGTGGATTTGATCCACAGAAGCTGGCATTAAAATTTTAGTCTAATTCTCATGCTTGAATAAGCAACAGCAATGTTTTTAACCACAGCTTTGAAATGCACTGCCTTATTCTATTAAGACTATAAAAGAGTTTGAATAGACCTCGGCTGACCCCTCTCTTTCTCTTTCAGTTGAATAAAGGATGCCAGAAATGGCTAACAAGCAATCTTGGCATTGTCTTGGAGCAGAAATAGGACTCATGGCACACAATAAGGTGGGTTTTGTGGATGGGAGGCAACCTGAATGCTTTTCTCTCTACGCACCTTGCTAGGTGGAAGTAATGTATTTCTGTTGTCCCTCAAGTGCATCAGCCAGTCTTCTCCATTCGCTTAGTGAATAGAAAATATTTCTTTTTTCTTTCTTTCAGGATCTACTGACGTTTGAGGAAGTGGCGGTGCATTTTACACAGGAAGAGTGGGCTTTCCTGAGTCCAGACCAGAAAGCTTTGCACAGAGAAGTCATGGAAGAGATCTGGTGGCTGTTGGAGTTCCTTGGTAAGCCTTCTATTTTGGTAGTTTGTTTTTGATTTGTTGTTGTTTAGTCATTAAGTCGTGTCCGACTCTTTGTGACCCAATGGACCACAGCACACCAGGCCCTCCTGTCTTCCACTGCCTCCCAGAGTTGAGTCAAATTCAAGTTGGTAGCTTTGATGACACTGTCCAACCATCTCGTCCTCTGTCATTCCCTTTTCCTCTTGCCCTCACACTTTCCCAACATCAGGGTCTTTTCCAGGGAGTCTTCTCATGAGATTGCCAAAGTATTGAAGGATCTGTCCTTCCAGTGAGCACTCAGGGTTGATTTCATTCAGAATGGATAGGTTTGTTCTCCTTGCAGTCCAGGGGACTCTCAAGATTCTCCTCCAGCACCACAATTCAAAAGCATCCATTCTTCAGCAGTCAGCTTTCTTTATGGTCCAGCTCTCATTTCTCATTTCACTACAAAGAAACCATATTCTATATAGTAATTATAGTAATAATCTGTATAACTATTCAGACCTTTGTCAGCAAGGTGATGTCTCTGCTTTTAAAGATGCTGTCGAGGTTTGTCATCGCTTTCCTCCCAAGAAGCATGCGTCTTTTAATTTCGTGGCTGCTGACCCCATCTGCAGTGATCATGGAACCCAAGAAAGTAAAATCTGTCACTGCCTCCCTCTCGTCCCCTTCTGTTTGCCAGGAGGTGATGGGACCAGTGGCCATGATCTTGGTTTTTTTTTTTTCCTGCTGAGCTTCAGACCATTTTTTGCGCTCCCTTTCATTAATGGAATGAAATCTCACCCTCATTAATGGGTTCTTTAATTCCTCCTCACTTTCTGCCATCAGAGTGGTATCATCTGTATATCTGAGGTTGTTGATATTTCTTCCACCAATCTTAATTTCGGCTTGGGATTCATCCAGTCCAGCCTTTCGCATGATGTATTCTGCATATAAGTTAAATAAGCAGGGTGTGATTGGGTTTTGCGTAATTCAAAGGCAGTTCTTGTTTTTGCGCAGGAAAATACCAAGAGGATTGAACATCAGTGCTTTTATTAAACTTAGTCTCAGGTGAATCAGCAACAACTTCAATAGGTTCAAAAAAGCATAACTTGGCAGACGGCCATAAGATTCTGGTAACACGTTTAATAAAGAATTGTCTCTCTTTACTGATGAGCCGGACCAAAGTGTTCGTTGTCGGTCAATTTCCTTAACAGTGTTGTGGCACACTGCTCAGAGTGTGCTACAACACGGGTGGCGTGCCCAGTCCCCCTTGTCCGGAGGATTGTTGAACATCGCATCCGGATGAATTACTTTCATCGAGTGACCCTGACCTCTGAGGAATACCACCACTGTCTATTCTGTAGTCGTGGTCACGGTCACTTTGTCCTTATTTAATTTAGGGTCCGGTAACAGTCCTCCTACTCTCAGGTTTGGAAAATCTTGGAGCAGATTGGGTGTTTTTCTCAATTCCTTTTTTCCTCCATCCACCATCATTTGTCTAGGCACACTGAACTGTCCCACTTCCCCCTCCTCCCTTTTATCTTCCTCCCACACAGGTAATGTTAGCTCCTTCCATTCCCTCTCCTTCCTCAACCAAACAAATATCCGTCTTTATTTCTTTATCCTCAATCACTTTCCCCTGCATTTCTCCTGTTCTCTCTTTTGATTTCTTGGTTACAGATTCCTCTGAGACCGTGCACTCTCATCATCTACTCCTCCTTCACACAGGGAGACAATATGTCAAATTCCTTTCCCAATTTTGAACCAATCAGTTGTTCCATATCCAGTTCTCACTGTTTCTTCCTGTCCCACATATAGATTTCTCAGGAGGTAGATAAGGTGATCAGGCACTCCCATTTCCTAAAGTACTTGTCATAGTTTGCTGTGGCCCACACAGTCAAAGGCTTTTGCATAGACAATGAAGCAGAAGTAGATTTTTTGTGGAACTCTGGCTTTTTCTATAATCCAGTGCATGTGAGCAATTTGGTCTCTAGTTCCTCTGCCCCTTCGAAATCCAGCTTGTACTTCTGGGAGCTCTTGGTCCACATACTGCTGAAGCCTACCTTGTGATATCTCTTAGTAAAAAATTAGTTTAAACATTGAGTAAATTGCATTTCTTATAACTCATTATCTCAGTTCACCTCTTAATAACCTGACAGGAATTATCTCCTTTTAGGAATTTTAGTACCGATATACCATCTTCCCGTTAAAGTGAAAACCATGATAGGGTTAACATAACAGGGAGGTCCCCTGTGCTCCAACTTCCATGTGTCAGCCCTTGAAATATTTTAAGACGGGCATTATATCACCTCTCAACCTTCTCTTCTTCAGACAAAGCATATGCAGCTCCCTCAACACTTCTTGATAGGTCTTGGTTTTCAAACCTTGCACCATCTTGGTTGCCCTCTTCTGGACACATTCCAGCTTGTTGGTGTCTTTCTTCAATGATGGTGCCCAGAACTGGGTAACGATTGCAGGTGGGGTCTGAACAAAAGTGAATTGTTATCATCTGCTTTAAAATTGCTTCTGATTTATTGCCTCCCTAATTGTTTTTGAGGCATGTTAGAGGCTGAGCTAATCAGGTGGCAGTTTGGTTTTGACGAATACTGAACTAGCTAATGACACCCATCAATCGCCGTGACAGATCATCTCCCCCCTTATCACAACAATAAACCCCCACTAAAAAACATCCTGATCACCATAAGCACCCAATCTCCAGAAAATGACGAAAGCTGATCCCACAGGTACAAATACTCAGGTATCCACCAGAACACTGACAGAATTCTAACTCCTGTCCTCTGAAGATGCCAGCCACAGAGACTGGTGAAACATTATGGAGAAAGGACCTTTGGAACATGGCCAAACAACCTGAAAAACATACAATAAGAATTGGATCTAGGCTGTGAAAGCCGTCGATAATACATAGTTTGGTTTTTCTCTGACATACGAGATGGGGCTGCTCTGCCTTCTGTACCATGGGGAAGCAGGCTATTTTGGGGTCTTCATAGCAATTCATGTGGCACACGCCCAGCTTGGCACTACTACCTGTCACTCAGCACCCATTCTCGAAGATTAAAACTTTACTTTGCCTAGTGATAGATAGAGCCAGCCCTTCAACCTCATCCCATTGCATTTTAGAATACTTTCCCCTGCTCACTGTTTTGTATTTTGTTGAGGAGTTGTAAGGCTGTAGTATTTTGAAGGGAAAAATGCAATTATCTTTTTTTTCCAATGGAAGAATTTCCAAAATATATACTCTCTGACAGAATCTGAGGTGCGGCTAATAGAAACAATAAAACATGACCATCCCCACAGATCCACTGTGCCAGGAACAGAATTACCGTAAATCCCTGATGTGGCCAAAACTTCAAGTGTCAACTTCAGACCAGTTTGAATCTGCTTTTTAAAATTTTCTTTTTAAGTTTTACTGGCAATCTGGAGGGGAGGGGAAAGGGATTATAGTACAGGGCCAATAACCCAATTCAGCACACAATCTCATACCAAATAATATATTTATCTCTCTGAGTACAGTGGTGCCTCGCATAACGAGCGCACCGTTTAACGATGAATCCGCATAGCGATGTAGATTTTGCGATCGCTAATGCGATCGCATACCGATGTTTTATCGCATTGCGATGGGGGAACAGCTGTTCGGCGGTTCCAAAATGGCCATCGGAACACCCAAAATGGCCGCGTGCAGCATTTTCGTGCCCTGCGTGAAAATGGTGGCCGGATGGGGAAACATCACAGAACAGTGAGTTTTGGGCCCATTTGGAACGCATTAACCTTGCTATGCGGGGCACCACTGTAGTTCAATCAATTTGAATAATCCATTTCTGCACACTTTCCATTGACCTTAGAAGATACCAAACCAGGACTCCATTGGACTTTTCTAATGTCATCCTCCCCATTTAAAGCCAAACCAGTATAATTTTGCCCCATCCGTAACCATTAATGGGTTTCCTATTAATAAATTTTCAGCAAAATAGCCCTGCTTATCTGTTTTAAATGCAAGCATATGGCTTCCTTTTGTTGAATAATTTTGGTAAAATGTTATTTCTAGTTAGTAGAGTGTGGGATGAAAAAAATAACATCAGCTAAGTTTCAGACATAACCTCCTACTCACATAACCTCCTACTCCTTTGTGTTATAAATTTTTAGCCATAACCTCCTACTCACAATGATTAGTCCTTTGTGTTATAAATTTTTAGTAGCATTTAAGTAGAAAAGTGGATCTTTACTTGCAATCACCTGTCAGATGAACAAAAGGTAAAATAAAAAAGGGAGTCTCTGTTATGCCGCTGACATACATTTTTCCCTGCCTACCAAGTGGACCTTGGTGACAATAACAAAAAAGGACAATGGAGAACACAAGCAAGCAAATAGGAAGATGGCAGGGGCAAGTTGGAAGGGGGAAAATCTTTACCAATAGGTTAGGTACAACGACCAGTACATTGGTTTTTTTAAAAAAAACCTTCACGCTAATGCCCAGTGTTACTTTTTGTAAATCTGTTATTTTCCCAGCAGCTCTTTTCAAGCTTGTCTACACCAGCACCTGTTTTGTAGGTTTTGAAATTATTGCTTGGTAGGATAGCTCGTCAGGATAGCTGCTGTCATCTCTGTAGTTGGACTGAGTTTTTTCTTTCTGATACCATCCCTGTGTTTATTGTCTGTACTCTTCCTTCTGTTTCCTGTATGTGTTCTTTTTTATTTTTGAGTCCTCTCTGAGCTTTTTGTAAAGCTAACAATGCTCTTTTTTGCTGTCTTCAACCTTTTTCTTGCAATCATTTACATTTTTTACTTTAGATTTTCCGATTTTAAGAAACTCCAATCAATCCCTCTTGGACTTCTTTTCTTGGTAGAGTCTCATGCCGTATACTTTACTTATCATTCCTCATACATACATGTAAATTTGGATACCCATTTATCTTATGGAATACAGGAGGATAATGAGTGTTTGGGCTCCAATAGTTTGCTTGAAATTAGTTTCCAGGAAAAGGATGGATTTTTGTCTTTTACTG